AGCTGTGCTACCTCCCACTATTTTGGGGAACTGAGAGCCCAATTTTTCAAATCTTCCTTATGTCAAGAGTACTTTATTGTGTGACAAGTCCCTTTCACTGTAAAGGAAATACTCATGTGACTAGAGACTTCACACCTGACAGATTGGCGGAATTGGGCCTATAAAATTAGAAACATAGAATGAGAGATCTAAGTATCTGTGCAGAGTGACTGCATGGTGTCTAGCCAAGGAGCAGCATATCGTTTGTTATTGACAAGAAAAAAGGTCTCCCTAATTTAAGTAATCAACTGGAAAATCCCAAAGGAGTAAATTATTTTAAGATGGAACCTTGACTTACCAACACGCCATGTGGGAAGAACTTCCATGAAGATCTGACTTAATCATAAGTTCACTGCCATACTTTTACTTTATGCATACCTGCTCCTTTCATAGGGATATTCAGTGGTAAGGATTTTGAACCAATATTTTAAAATGCATTAAATTATCCAAGACCAAGGTAACGATGATGAAATGAGGTTTCAGACACTTCAATTAAAATTATATTCTAATGTCCTGAGACACACACCTTTAATGATGTTTCCTCAAATATAAAGTTAGCTTTAGAATTACTCCTTAACATTTATATTTGCTTCTGTGGGCAGTTTATTTAGTCTGTAGAGGTTTTGAGAGTCAGGATTCCTGGATTCTAGAAATGAGCGATTATCATATGTTTTTCTTTTAAAATTTCTAGTTGATATTTTATGAGGAACATGTAGATAGACTGGATTACCTTTCTTCTTATATTGAATCATTTCAACAGAAGGTTAACATCACATTTCAAAGGGTCAAACTAATGGCATTTTCCGTAAAATGGGTGCAACAACATTTAACTACCGTGTCAACTTTAATTAATTGATAGCAACTTCCAACCACTTTCAGTACAAATTCCAACCACTCAGGAATTACTCTAGCTTCCTCTGAACTGCCCACAAGCTTCCTCCCCTAAATCTCTTTTGAGCACTTCAAGGAATAAGGTCTTGCCTGCCTGTATTTATTTCCTTTATTCAAGGAAAACCTGTGAAAGAAAATTGGTGTCAACACTTTTACCAACATTAAACTATTCTGTAGAACTCTCATCTTTCGAATATTATCAAGGGAAACAGTTTGGTAGGATTTCTTTTTAAAATAGATTGACATTTATATGAATTCACTCTGCAGTTACACCAGTTAGGTTAAAACTACAATAATTCAAAAATCCTGCCAAAATTCCTAAAAACTGATCATCAACTGCAGTCCAGGGGGACAATAATTTATATTGCAGGATTCCCCACTCTCCTCCAAGAAGACTGGGCCCTGTGTATCTTGGTGAATCTCATGTATGTGGGGTTAAGGTGACCATATTTTGAAAAAAAAAATTTTTTTTAAAAGCAGGACACTTTTGTAAAAACGTTTTTAAAGGTAAGGAAATACTCATTCAAAAGTAATTTAAAAATATGTATCGGTGTCACTGCTGCTAGCTTTTCACTCAAAAGCAACACGGGGAAATATCTTAAGCGTGCAGTGCATTTTCTACTAAAGTTAGAGTGCACGTTCATGATACTTCTTCAGCTGATGGGCCTTACAGTTCAATCCACTGTGGGCGATACTCTCCACTCCTAACACCATTCATCCCATCCAATGCTCCTTCCGCTGCACTAGTGCCTTAAGCACCGGACTCCTACTCAGTACTGCAGTACTTCCTGGACCATTTGTTTTTAAAACTTTTAGGATATATAGAAAACTGGAAGGACTCAGGTGCCCTGAAAGCAGGTCTTAGGTAGGGATGTTAAATATGGCTCAGAGAACCAAAGGGTTTCATGGTACCTGTAAGTGACTTATTAGTGTAATTTCTGTCCTGTCCTTTGTAGTGTCTGTGTTATCTGTAACACAGTAGTAGCATTTAACAACTAAGTTTACCCTGTAACAATAAAATAGTAACTGTTTAAGCTTTAACCTGACTCCTTCAGTTGCTGTAACAGAACCAAGCACAATTTAAAAGAACTTCATCCAGTCATAAGGGACTCACTGTCCTGACGGTCGGCTGACACCGCTGTCTGGGGGAAAGGGGTCTGAACTCCCAGACCCAGCATGAGCCGGAACCAAGCCGGGCTGCCTGCCTGCTAGGGTTGCCAGGTGTCCGGTTTTGAACTGGACAGTCCAGTATTTAAGCTTTCTGTTTGGGGAACTAATTGAGAAAATATAAATGTCCAGTATTTTCTAAATAAGATGTAATGTAGAGTGTGATGTAATGTTAAGTGTGTCTGGTATTTTTGTTGAAACCATGTGGCACCCCTACCGCCTGCCCATCTCCTAATACACTTTAAATGCAGAGCCACAGCAGGGGTAGGTCTCAAATCCATCACAAGCCAGGACTGAGATGGGCTGCTGGTCAGCCTGCTAAAAAATTTACTGGCAAGGGGTGGAGGAGAGAAATGTGTGTAGTCTATAGCATTAACCTATTAGCTTTTGCTTATCGGTTTAAGGGTTAATCGACTGCTTTATTACATCCCTAGTCATAGAATCATAGACTCATAGGGCTGGAAGAGACCTCAGGTGGTCATCAAGTCCAGCCCCCTGCCCAAAACAGGACCAATCTGGGTCAGCAGGACATTGTGTGAAAAAAACAGGCTGTGGGATGGCCATGGTGGGTACGCCACATATTGCAACCAGCCACATGCCAGGCTCAGTTGGGCCCAGGGAATACTGGGCAGGGAGGGTGTGACGTAGTGGGGGTACCTGGCTGGTTTCTATGCTGCTGGCTCTGGGGTACCCCCCACTGGCTCCCGTGGGTACCACGACCCAGCAAAACAGGATGAGTCACTATGCAAACCAGTATGGCCAGACACCCCCCATGGAGAGGAACAAAGGAAGGTGGAATGCTGCCCTGGCTGGGGGGCAGGGCTGGAAGAGAGTTAGTTAGTTGCGGTCTGTGAGCATGGAGGAGACAGCCTAGGGAGAGGGGCTGGAGTTTAGGGGCCCAGTCTCCCCCCAACTCAAGGGGGCCTGAGGCATCCTAGCCCAGCTCTGTGACCAGATTACATCTGTGCTGTGCTGTATCCTGGAGAGGCAATAAACTTCTTCTATTCCACCGGCTGGTGCAGTCTGTTTGTGCCATTTCGGGGTGCAGGAGACGGGGGACCCCCAACGCGCCGTCACAGAGGGATGCCCTCTTGGGGGTGCCCTGCCAGAGAGCATGGGGGGAAAGGCTAGAGAGGGTTGCCAGGCGTCCCGTTTTGAACCAGACAGTCCAGTATTTTAACTTTCTGTTCAGGAAACAAATTGAGAACTATAAGTGTCCAGTATTTTCTAAATAAGATGAAATGTGGATTGTGATGTCATGTCAAGTGTGTCCAGTATTTTTGTTGAAACCATCTGGCAACCTGGCTAGACATATGATTTAATGACTAAACTTGTTTCTACATGTGTTTTGAAATCACAGGCTATATTTTTCTATGCAAATATTGGAATTTCAAAATGTAGTAGATTATAAAATGGGGAAATAAGTTCTTGTACACAATTTGTCACACTTGGCACTGGCCCCCACCCATAGGCCTGGGGCTCTGCTTTGGGGCTGGCAGCAAGCAGGAGCCCTGGGCCTGGGACAGGAGCGACCCCTCCCTTCCTGCCCTGGCTGGGGTTGGTGGGGGCACAGTCAGGGTAGCGGCTTCGCGGGTTGCTACTGCGCATGCTCGAATCGCTAGTTGCCATGGCAGCGGGTTGGCTGCCCCTCGCGCGGCCAGCATGGCGCTGCCGGATCCGGTCAGGAGGCGGCTCGGCTCCTTTAGCCGGTCTGTGTTCAGCGACAACAACCGCACCGGCCCGGAGCGCCGAGAGAGCGGCGGCAGCCTGGGTAAGGCCTGGTTGCGCTGCCCGCAACAAAGATGGCGGCGGCAGCCTCAAAGGGAGAGAGGTGGGGGGGCAGAGGGTCGCTGCCAGGAACGAAGATGGCGGCGCCAACGGCGCTGTAGCGGGGCTATGGCTAGGACAGGGCAGCGCGTCCCCGCGCTCAAAGGGCGGGAAGGGGGCGCGCGCTGCCTTGCGCCGGCAGCTTCCCCCCTCCCTCCGCCCCAGGGGTGGCAGCAGCCGCCGCGCGGGGCCTCCCTGCTGCGCCGTGGCTTGCGGACGTGGCTCCGCGTTGGCGTCCCCAGGGCTGCGGGTGCCAGAGCATCCCCGGGCTCCTGGGAGTGAGAGCTGCGCTAATGCATCGTCTCCGCCCTCAGCCCCCCTGTTCCTGCTCCACGGCTTGGCTTAGGTACCGCTCCCCAGGCTGTGAGCCTGCCTGCCTGCTGGGGGGCTAGACTGTACTGCCAGTCCCACCCGTTCAAAAATCCCAGGTCAGGCATCCCCCCTGGAGCTCAAGAGGCCCTCATCAAAGTCATGAGATTTAAACGAGGAGTATGGGGTCTTTGCCTTTGGGTTTCGCATGATTAGGGGTTTGCTTTGGGATGGTTGTTTCTTTGGTTGTGGCAGCTTTTCTTAGCAGCCAGGAAGGATCGGAAGCTCTAAAAAATAAAAGCTGAGATTCTCACAATCCCAGGACTCTAGAAACTGGGGCTTTAAGAAAAGCACCACAAACTATTAAACCAGTTGGGATGCCATTGGACATCAGCCCAGAGCAAAACATATCGACTGTGTCAGACTGGCAAGTTTTTCCGCAAAAGCGGGTGCTTTTGCGGAAAAACTTGCCAGCTGTTTACACTGGCTGCTTGAATTTCTGCAAGAACACTGACGATCTCATGTAAGAAATCAGTGCTTCTTGTGGAAATACTATGCTGCTCCCGTTCAGGCAAAAGTCCTTTTGCGCAAAAGGGCCAGTGTAGACAGCTCAGATTTGTTTTGCGCAAAAAAACCCCGATTGCAAAAATGGCGATCAGGGCTTTTTTGCGCAAAAGCGCGTCTAGATTGGCATGGATGCTTTTCCGCAAAAAGTGCTTTTGCAGAAAAGCGTTTGTGCCGACCTAGACGCTCTTTTCCGCAAATGCTTTTAACAGAAAACTTTTCTGTTAAAAGCATTTGCGGAAAATCATGCCAGTCTAGACGTAGCCTCTGTGCCTTTCTGTGAAAATACTACCATCCCTTCACACTCAGCCAGGCACTCGGTGTAACTTGCCAGATATTTTATACCACCACCTAGCATATTTCATCTGAAAAGCACAAAGCACTCCAGGACGTAAAATAAATCAGACTCTCACTGCCACCACATGTAACGGATGGTTTGGGTGTTTGAATTGGATCTGCTGAAACAGGGACACGTAACAGGACTTACAGGTGAGGCAATCATAAGGAGGAACTTCCACATGCACAAACCATGGTACTTGTGGATACTTCTATGGGCTGCACTTTGAGAAATGGGGGGGAACTTCCAACAGTCAGTTTACTGATAATTAATTCAAGTAGATTTAATGTGATATCAATCCATTGGACAAAGAAAGAAGGAAACTTGTCAGTTGAAACAAAACCATTCCTGATGTTCTCATTTTTAGGACTTATTTTGTATCTGGGTCTGGTTGTATATTTTTGTTTTGTTTTTGGAATTTACATGCAAACTCTAAACACTGTAGAACTTTACCTCCTACATAGTATTCCAAGGGTCAGTATTTTGTTTTTCTGAGTTTTAGCAGCTAATTTTCTTCTCTTCATAGTGTTTGATTTGTAACTCCTCATTCTGTAATGTACATTCAAATTTTCCCCTTTTTAAAAAGCATATTGGATTGACATTGCTGGAGTCTAGAATTTTCTGTGCAGAAGAAAGATTGCATGGAGACCAAGCGATGCAAGCTTCTCCAGCATGCTTGCGTTCTGATCTGTAGAGATCAGTTTTAATTTGAGTATAATCAAATATATATGGTCACTTAGTCCCATTAAAAAAAGGCCTAGTATTATCACATTGCTACAGTCAGGCATCAGGAACTAAGAGTACAAGTCAGTTCACCTCCACTGTCTATTGCTCTCCTTTTGAGCACCTCCTCTGCTTAACATTTGCTGCTTAACCCCTTCCTTATTTCTTTGTATACTCCCATCACACTTAGATTGTTTAGAATACGGTAGGGAATTATGTAGAAAAATTCTTCCTCTGGCCACTTTGACATATGCTTAATGATGAAGTTGGTTGATTTCAGAATCCAACCATTAATGAGTTGAAGTTGTTCTCTTAGGCTGTGTCTGCACTACATGCCTCTGTCGGCAGAGGCATGTAGATTAGGGTTGTAGGCAAAGGTAAATGAAGCTGCGATTTAAATGATCGCGGCTTCATTTACATTTAGATGGCTGCCGTGGCGAGCCGACAAACAGCTGATCAGCTGTTTGTCGGCTCAGCGCGGCAGCCATGTAAATGTAAATGAAGCCGCGATCATTTAAATCGCGGCTTCATTTACCTTTGCTGAATAAACAAATCTACATGCCTCTGCCGACAGAGGCATGTAGTGTAGACGTACCCTCAAAGTAGAGGCATCTTTCTCTGCTCTATGTAGGAAATATAATGTCTGATACAGACCTTGGGTGATGATGATTTCTCTCTCTCTCGCTAGATAATGAAATAGTTGCCAGTTTGCCATTGCAGATGTCCCTCTATTTCAACCTTTACTTTTTCCCATTTTGGTGGGTAAGCAGTGTGGTCATGCTCCAGCTGAAGGTAAGTCCTGAGGGGACTTATCCCCTACAACATCTGTGCTGCCTGTTTGAATTTTATTTCCTTACACTGTCTGCAAGAGTAATATAATACTCAGCCCATCTACTCATTGCCTTCAACCCACACATGGCAAATGTTATTTAATAGAGTGCAATAGCTTAGTGGAAATGTCTGAGTATCTGGAGGTGCAGGAGTTTGTGACAGAGTTAGTGACAGGTTTGGTTGGGTGGCAGATTGAAAAATCAGGGGCAACGGCTTATCAACTTTCAGGAATATTGACAGTGCTGCATGAATTTCCAGAATGCAAATTTCATGAGCTTCTGTAGAGCTGTATAAAATAGTGATAGCACATGCCAGCCCCATGGAATTCTTACTTTCTTCCTCTCTCTAGTACCCAGTCTTGCCAGATTACTACAAGTTCATCCTGGTCACAGTCATCGTCATAGTCTCTCTCATTGAGGCCATCCGACTGTATCTTGGATATATGGGCAATCTGCAGGAGAAGGTATGTTCTGTTGACCTCTGAACATCCGTTCAGGAGCCTTAGAGGGCTGAATATGAAGCTTTGGATTACAGACACCACACAGTTTCATTCACTGATAAAGTAGAACCTATTAATTGGACTTGAAGTGGGGTTCATGGCCCTAGGTAAATTCTCTGTCATTTGTGCTAAAGGAGCTGGTAACTTTGCACAAGTGAGCAGTGGGTTCCTTTGTTTCTGAACTTCACAAAGCACAGATTCAGACCTGGCCTTTGTAAACCTGCTAGAACAAACAAGTGACCGTAATTTAGTCTTTCTACATTGTGGGGGTGGAGAAACAGCACACCCCATTTTAAAATCATCTTCATATTAAATAATTTACCCCCTCTTTCTGGTTTTATACATTTCTCTAACCTGAGCCTCTATTCTGCCAGTTATGCTCTTTCAGTGTTTGTCTATTGCTTTCATCCCCTCATTTCAACTCCTCCTCCCTTTGTTGTTTGGGGATGCCAACCTCATTTTCCCTCTCTCTCTTCTTTGATTCCTGCTCCAGCAACCACACATCACTGAAACCATCCTCTTCAGCTTCATGCAGTTCTCTGGAAGCCTTCTTTCATATGGTGGGTCTGCTTAGAAGTATTGTAGGATAGAGTAGAAACTCTGATGGATGGTTCAGGAAGTGAGGGACTAAACTCTATTCTATACTGATACATACTAAGGATGTTAAGAGGTGGGTAATTGGCTAATCGTGTAGTCAATACAATTTGTATCGACTACACAATTAGTCAATAAGGGAAGGCACTCAGTCCTGACTTGCACCGGGTCCGAGAGCTACCTGCACTGCAGCTCTGCATTTTAAATGTAGTTATAGTCGGGCAGCTCTCACTGCTTTTAAAATGCAGAGCCGCAGCAGGAGTAACTTCTGGACCTGGTGTGAGCCAAGACTAAGCCGGGCTTGCTCAGTCCCCGCTTGTGCAGCATCCAGAAACCCTTATCCAAAGGAGGTCCCAGTGTATAGGGGCTGCTGCCGGAGCAGTGTGTGTTCACAGACAGCCCAGGCTGCTGTGGACAAGGGCTGTTCTGTGGGATGCAGAGCTTACGGCAAGCCTGGGCTTGCCCTGGGCAGAGACTGCCACATGACAGCCTCCCTTCCCCCTCCCCCGCACTGCTGCCTCTAGGCAGCAGTGTGTGTGTGTGGGGGGGAGGGGGCGCGAAGGGCAAGGAGCAGCGCAAAGACAGTGCAGGGGGGGGAACTGGCTTTTAAGCTGGCTCCTGCTTCTCCCTCTTGCTGCCTGTCATACAGAGGCAGCAAGGGGCGGGGGGAAATGTGAGTGGTCAGCTTGACTAGTTGCTTACATCCCTAATATATACCGACACTGAACTTTCGGTGCAAGTCTCCTTTTCCTGTCTCTCTGTTGATTGTTTACTTCTGGCTTATTCTCTGTTAATTTAATTCCATTTGTATCAGGCCCCTAGATGACCATGCTTCCTGCTTCAGCTCAGCATGCTGTTTTAATGGCGCTGATGGAGGGAAACTGATGTAAATCAAACTGTCCCCGCTAGTTTTACTCTGCCACTGAACATCTCACTCTCCTGAGCTGCTGAATATCTTCATTGCCAAAGATGCAACTTTGTGTCCACTTATCCCTATCACTAATAGGGGTAGAGTGAATTACACTTGGCTGGCTGTTCTGATAGGAACAGTGAGAAAACCAGGGCTAAGACATCTTTGGAGAGGTTTTATAATTGATGGGAACATTTGGGAAGCCCATGATCTTCCATGGAATGTAACTCTGAAGTCCTGCATCTAATTGAAACAAAAATCTGTTTGGAATAGACTTCAGAATAGTTGTTGTCTAGATACGTATTGGCTCTTTATTTCTTAGTTGAACTGGCTGAAAAATGGGGGGAGGGGTTCCCCTGCTGAAAATTTTGACTTTCCCATAAGAACTTAAAACCACAGTCCATCAGGAGAGTTGTGTTTCAAGTACCACATGCTCTTTTTATCCTCTATCGCTTATTGGACTGTATTATATGTGAATCAGCACTTATTTATGGGAGCTGATGCATCATGGGAATTGCTGAGCCACATTGAATAATGGGAGATGAAGCTCAGCTGGGAGCCATGCCCATAAGAATGGGTGCATGAGACAGTGGTATAACAAATTGAAATGTTTAGATTTGGGGCATTTGTTTGATGAGAGAAAAGATGATCAGAAAAGATGAGGCTTTTTTGGTAAGCAATTTTATTTAGTTAAAAAAAAAGTTTTTCATTGCAAAATAATTTAGACAGAAAATGTTCTGTCTACCAGTCTTATTTTTTAGCAATTCTATAGAATATGCAGGCTTTGAGGGAGGGAGAATGGATTTCTATAGGATGTGGTGTTGGAATGTACTCAATGTATACACACGGCTTGCATTGTTCAGTTGCCGTGTTTTAGCAACTGTTGATATTAGATATGTCTTTATATTGTAGGTTCCTGAATTGGCTGGCTTTTGGCTCCTGAGTCTCCTCCTGCAGTTGCCCATAATCTTCTTCTTGCTCTTTAATGAAGGTCTGACGATCCAGCCACTGGAGCGAGCAGTTCACATCATTTTTGCCCTCTTCCTCGCCTTTCAGGTCATTATGGCTTTTCTTGCCTTGAAAAGAATGGTGAACCAGCTAGCAGTCCGTTTCAGCCTTAATGAATTTGACCAGCTGGACTATCAGCCCTCATCAGATTATCCGGCCTGGGAGAAGAGGAGGGTGCAGGCGCCATGGAGAGAAGGACACTTTGAGGAAGCGCTTCCATCAAATACTGATTGGGAATCTGCACTCAGGGCTTGACAGGTTATATCTACGATAGAATCTCAGGATGGGCATCTCTTGCTGCTATAGTCTTACTGTTTCCATTTCTGTGGCTCCTTCTCAACCTTATTTGTCAGAAATGTAGTTCTGCCACAGCCACCATTAAAGAGGAGAGATTGAAACTTGACCATCACATCGGCACCATTGGTTCTGCCAGTTACACAGTTGACTTCATTTGTACATAGTTATTCACTGGACAAAATGTCTGCAGCATGGGTTTGGTAGGTTTTGTACTTTAGCAAACCTTAATTTTTTGTAAATGGTGTACAAAAGATGTTATGATTTTGAACAAGGATATTTACAATAAATTAGTATTCATTTTAATCACTCTTCATGCTCAATAGCATATTTTATCTACAGATCTGAGTACTCTCTATGGACAGACAATGAATTTAGCCTCATAATAGCCCACTAAGGCAAGGCAGTATACACAGACACAGAAAGAGATGAAGACACTACAGTGATGGTCAGGCTACAAGAACTCAAACTTCAAGAACTTTTCAAAAGTTCCATTAAATTTTGGATGACTCAATTACTGGGCACTCCAGTCAGAGGATCTGTTAATCCAAGAAAACACTCTTTGGTTCATCTGAAATTTTGGGAACCCAGCACCTCATAGTTTAGGCCTACTTGTCGAAAATGGAGCACCTAATAATTGAGCCAGACAAATTGCATATCTTATTTCGAATTTAGGGTGCTGTGTAGATGCACCCTTAGATACAAGCGATCTGCTCAAGAGAATGCAAGAAGTCTGTCAGAGCCAGGTATATAACTCAGGTTTCTCATTTGCAGGTCTCTGCATTAATGTCTGGACAATCCATTCTGGTAATGGCTAAAAGTTTGTTTCTGAATCTTGTGATCAAAAGTAAACTTTAATTTTTTCAAGTGGATCCCTCTGGCTATCAGCAGAGCAAGGGCAGACACATACAGGTGAAGGCCTGGTACATAGACATAAGAACGGCCATACTGGGTCAGACCAATGGTCCATCCAGCCTCGTATGCTGTCTGCTGACAGTGGCCAATACCAGATTCCCCAAAGAGAGGGAACACAACAGGTAATCCTCACGTGCTCCCTCTCCTGTCACCCACCTCCAGTGAAACAGAGGCTAGGGACAGCATTAGACACTGGATTAGTGAAAGGAAGAGATCATGGAATCCAATTGCATTATGAAGGAAAGATGCAATATATTTAAGGATGAGATTTTTGCAGGTCTGTTAGAATCTTAGGGTATGTTTACACTACAGCGTTATTTCGAAATAACTATTTCAAAATAACGCGTCTACACACAAAATGCATTTTGAAATAGCTTTTTGCTATTTCGAAATAGCGTGTCACACTGAGTGGATGCTGAATTGCATTTAAGGCCGGCCAGAACCAGATCCAGCAGGGCATAAGGTCAGGAATTAGCCTCAGGCAGCAGCCACACAAAGTATCTGAGGCCTGTGCTTAAAGGGACTGCCCCTCCGGACAGCCAGTTCTCAGGTTTCCCTGCTTGCTTGCCTACCTCGATGAGGGACAGCGAAGCATTTTGTCTCTGCGTGCTCTGGTTGACTTCACTCGGGACACCACAGCACTCTGAAACATGGAGCCAGAGCTGCTCCTTGGCACTCTGGTGCTTCTCGTGGACGCATTGCTGTGAGCCTGGTTGCTCTTTCTGCAGGCTGCCATCTGGGAGATCCATCGGGGGGCTGTCAGTTTCCAGGAGGCCCTGCGGGAGAGCTTCCACCCTGAGGCGCACTAAGCACTTCCCTGGTCTGCCCCGCTGGGGGCTTGTGCCTCATTCCTCCCTCATGTCCATTTACCCCTCCCTAACCCCCCCTTCCTGATGTCAAATAAAATACATGTATTTTCATGAACACAAACTCTGTTTAACAAAACTGGGGTGGGGAAATGCAACTCTGGTGAGACTGGGGAAAGGAGGCAGGAGAGGGGGAACAGAGGGTGGGAGAGGGGAGGGGAAAACCTGGGAGGAGGGAGCTGGAAGGGGGAAGAAGAGGGAGGGGAAGCTCAGGGTTGCAGGGCTCACCAGACCAACTTGATTTTCATGCAGACCTGCTCCTGTGTTCACATGTGGCCTTTGGTGGCCAGGCTGGCAGCTATCCTGCTATAGACGGCCATGTTCCTCCATCTAGTGCGGAGATCATGGACGTTGGGGGCATCCCCCCCGAGCCTGAATAAGGTCTGTGATCTCTACTCTGGACCAGGCAGGCACCCTTCTTCTCCGGGCCCTGGTAGGCTCCTGGGAGCTGGCAGACTGCTCCTGGGGAGGGGTAGAGGGCTGGCTGCCAGTTGCTTGCTGGCTCATGTTTTGGGGCCGCTGGGTCAGGGGCAGTGACTGCTGGCTCTGGGCTGGCAGGCTTGGAACTGGCACAGGCACTGTAGCCAGAGTCAACCCCTTTAAGGGCTCCGGGGAGGGGGGAGGGAGAGAAGTGTTTTTGGTTGAGGCTGAAGTAGCCACCAGGGCACCCTGGGAAGGCTGGAGGCCCCCTATTTCCATATAAGTGTCTACACAGCACTTATTTCAAAATAGCTATTTCAAATTTGGCATTATTCTTCATGGAATGAGGTTTACCAAATTCGAAATAAGAGAGAGGGTTCAGTAATAGGATATTAAAATTCAAACGTAGTAGAAAAAAGTACAAGTCCACTTGCAGCAGTAGTGGCCCCATCTTACACCAGGTCTGGATTTGACATTTTACAGAAATATAACCAACTGGAAGAAATTAGTAAGCAGGAAATTACTCAGAATATCTGGAGAAATATGAAGATTTTACATTCAGGGTCTCTAAGGGAGATATTGGTGAGGTTTAAGCATGAGTTTTGTATTTAGAAGCGTTACACCATTTCAAAATCCTTTATGCAATAGTAATGGGAATTCCTTTTGAAAATTAAAAAAAAAGCTTTTAACTGTTAATCAGTACTACGGAATTATATGCCATAGCACGGATTGTCATCTTGCCACTGTATAACTACTGCAGAGCTGAGCTAAAAAACGGCTTGAGATCTCAGCTCTAGTCGCTTCAAAGAGAAACTTTTCAGAGCCAGTTAAAATAAGGACTGGGAAACTGAACAAAAGACCCTAACAGGCCAAACAGATGAATCAGATCTAGTTCCTGTCTTCACTAATGAGTTAACACAAAGTATTGCTCAAGTGTTTGTTATCTATCCTACCCAAACACAAAACACCCTCACTTATTTGTGATTGTGGTAACACAAATTGGCTAGCACCAGTGTGGAGAGAGAGTAGACCTAGAGTGAGCTTTCCTCCTTAACCCCCATACAACTATCGGTACTTAGCTGAGTGTTGTGATAACAATTGAGGGCTACTAGTCCTCTAATACCTTCCCCACAATTTTCTTGGGGCTGTCCATCTACATGTTCCCTGTTTCCTGATTGAAGAGTCACTTTCTGCTACATACAGGCCATCCTAAACCTCATTCCTCACCTTCACCCACAATGGCTAGTACCAGCAACTGCCCTCATCCACGTCTGGTAGAGAGCTCCCAGGGTACATCTACACTAGCCCCCTAGTTTGAACTAGGGAGGCTAATGAGGGCGACCGAAATTGCAAATGAAGTGCTGGATTTAAATATCCCATGCTTCATTAGCATGTTCCCGGGAAGTAGCCATTTTGGAAATTGACTAGCCCGGAGTAACTGCCCATGTCTACACACGGCAGTGAAATGGGAGTTCGAAGTAAACCCCTTAACTCGAATTAGCTGTTAAACCTCATTCTACGAGGAGTAACAGCTAATTCGAGTTACAGGTTTACTTTGAACTCCTGTTTCACTGCCACATGGAGATGCGGGCAGTTACTCCGGGCTAGTCAATTTCCAAAACGGCGACTGCCCAGGGAGGGTATGTCTACACTACCCCGCTAGTCCGAACTAGCGGGGTAATGTAGGCATACCGCACTTGCAAATGAAGCCCACGATTTGAATTTCCCGGGCTTCATTTGCAAGTGCGGTATGCCTACATTACCCCCGCTAGTTCGAACTAGCGGGGTAATGTAGGCATACCGCACTTGCAAATGAAGCCCACGATTTGAATTTCCCGGGCTTCATTTGCAAGTGCGGTATGCCTACATTATCACCCTAGTTCGAACTAGGGTGGTAGTGTAGACATACCCGAACATGCTAATGAAGCACGGGATATTTAAATCCCACGCTTCATTAGCAATTTTGGTTGCCCTCATTAGCCTCCCTAGTTCGAACTACGGGGCTAGTGTAGATTGACCCCCAGTTGTGATGATCTCTGACTCAAGTCTTGCAGGGTTCACAATTCTGGGAGCAAGATTTGAACCCTACTGACCCTAATGCCAACTCTAGGCTGAGAAGCCCTAACTTTTGTAACCTGAACTCTATGCTGGAGAGCCCTGGTAATGCCCGTCAGGGAACCCTCCAGACTGCAACCAGAACCCCAGGCCAGGAGCCCTCCAAACCCCAACTTCTAGGCCAGGAAGCCCCATTGACTCAACCCTAATCTTAACTTGGGGAGCCCAACTCACCGAAAGCTCAGGTAAAGCAGGCAACCCTACCCTACCTATAATACTAGGTAAAGGAGCACTTTGTAATCCTACAATAGGTCGAGGAGCCCTACAGACCTGAACCCCTAATCATAGGTCAGGGAGCTCCACTGACTCCAAACTTAACCTGAAGTTGGGGAGCTCTATTTTGGAACCCTAACCCCAAGCCATGGAGCCCTGTCTTTTGTTACCTGAACCCTAGGCCAGGGAACTTTACTGACCCCAACTCTAGACCTAGGCTGAAGAGCCCTACCTTTGTCACTCTAACCTTAGGTCAAGGAGCCCTATTGACCCCCAGCCTGGCACTCTGGGGGGCGGGGGCTCAGGGCTGGGGCAATCCCATACTCATGTGGGAGTGCACACCCAACCGGCCCCTTTAACCTGCCTGCCTGCTGCTTAGCGGGAAGTTCCAGGAGCCCAGCTGGGAGGGCACCACATCTCCTGCAGCCAATTGCCCCAGCCAGCTGGCTCTTTCTTGCCAGAGCAGCGCACCAATTTACTCTCACCTCTGCTACCATGAAATATGGCAGAATGTGGTTAAAAACAGAGCGAGAGACATATGATTCTCCCCCAAGGAGTTCAGTCACATTAAACACATTGTTTTAAATTAATGTCACAAGCATGGAAGCATGTCCTCTGGAGTGGCAGCCAAAGCATGAAGGGGCATAAGAATGTTTAGCATATCTGCATGTAAATACTTCGCAAAGCCTGCTACAAAAGTCCCATGTAAACATCTATTTTTCCACTTTCAGGTGCCATTGTAAATAATCAGGCAGCATTATCTCCCATAAATGTAAACAAACTTGCTTTGCCTTA